GTACTCTTCAAATGCACCATTCGGCATTCATAGTTTCACAGCAGTCATTAACTGTGTATCTCAGTTACTCAGCTCCTAATACCCTGGCACTATCTAGGAAGTTCAACATGGCAATCAAACCCATGTTGCCAGAGCCAATTTAAATCTCTGTCTGTACCTCTTTCTAATCACATCCACAAACCTTTATCCTGTCCGGTGTCAAATGCTCACCATCCCACAAACCTGCCTGGTATGTCTCCATCACAGAGCAGGGAACCTGCTTCTGGTATGTGGCTGCTTCTGTTATTCCTCTTATTCATCCTCCAAGCTCACCACCTTTCCTTACCTTACCTTTTCTCTTCAAATCTTTGATATCAATGTTTCCTCTCTTAAGACCAAAAAATCTGTAAGACCAATAGTCATCTATGTGTGCCTATCTCCTTATGTCCAGTTTAGTCAATAGTGGATAAGTGATCTGTAGGCAGCTCCTAAATTGATGTGGATTGAATCTAAATTCCACAGTACACAAGCTTTGCATTATTGTGTACTTCTCTTGTTAATAGATAGCTCCTTGGCTTGTGTGAAAAAATACGTCACCTTAAGTGACTTGTGGGAATTACTGCATTTGTAACACCTTTAACAACTAGGATGACCACAACTCATGGATATTAAGAACAAAAACCTTGAGAAACTGGCTGGTTAATTCAGAGACTCCACAAGCATTTTTTTTTAATAGAGTGTTGCTACATTGTGAGCCATATTAAATAAATGTCTCTGTCTGTCCCTTTTCCGGCAGTTACCATGGTAGATTTGTGTCATGCCTGGGTCAAGAGTCTCCTGAGCTGGTCAGCTTTTAAAGGTTGAACATTTTAGTTTCATTTTTCTGCCTTCCAAATATGTAAGAATATAATAGGAAATAGTCAAATTAAAACTCATACTATAATTCACTTTATTATTGACATTTATCATACATTATTATTCCAATCTTTTATGGGAGCAAATAAATGATATAAAATACATAATGAACTTTAACAAATTTAACCATACACAAAATATGGAATGATCAAAACTATGTTACATGGGTATTTTACAAAGGAAAAATAAGGATAATAGAACATTTAGATGAAACTTATCAATGAATTTTGGATGTTACATAATATTAAATATATTCAAAACAAGTTACTTTTAGAGAACCAGTTTGATATTTTACTATTAAAAAATGAATACTGTGTAAATGAGTGCTTACAAAAATATTTCTAAGCAAAAGCTATGGTCTGCTCATATATTTGCAGTTACAAAAATATATATTCCTCTGAAACTAATAAATTTGCTTGAGGCATTAGACATTTAAATTTAAATGTATGTTTTCTAAATATTTCAACAACTTAGTGTTCTTGACTGTATAGTATATAATACACACATGGTATTAGAATAGATTTACCTATGAGTAATATACTTTTAAGTAAAAGATACAAGTGACTCTTGTATATATAGGACTATAGGGACCCTGTGAGATTTTTTTAATTAAATACATCCAATACATTCAACTCTGATTGGTACTTAATAAAACATTTGTTGAATGACTATATGAGTGGATAATAGTAATTATTGTTTGTATGTAAAAATTAATAACCCAATCTTTGTCATTTCTGGTATTACCAGTATTTCTAGTAACTATCATTTAAAAATTTAGCAGTTATGTCCACTGAGCTATTTCTCAATGGTAGACCAGTCACATAGATTTAAGATTGACTGGATAATAATTCAGCTTGGACCCTGGCATGTCTCCCAGAGGTCCCTGTATTAAAGGCTTGATTCCCAGACTGGTGCTCTTGGGAGGTGGCGGCTAAGGGGAAGTCCCTGTGTCTGTGGAAGCCTGCCTTTGAAGGACTGTGGGACTCAAATTTCTTTCTCAGCTTTGTGACTTGGTTAGTGAGCAAAGTTGCTTTGTTCTGCTATCCTCTCCTTCCATGAGTTGTTACTCACCATAGACCCCCTGCACAGGACAAACTTGTACTAGAACCTCCAACTCTTTGAGTCAAAATAAACCATTCCTCTTTGTAAGTCAATTATCTCAGATAATTTGTCACATTGATGACCAAAAAATGAACAAAGAAAAAAAAAACATGAAAGTAAAAGAAAAAAAGCTGGCTCACACAAATAGCAAGATAACACA